CGTTGGAACACGCACGGACAAGCCTTCTGCTACCAACTCCTCCCCCATCGCCCTCCCCTTCTCAGTACAAAATCAAATGTCAACAAGTGTAGTCTGTTTATAGTTTATCAAATATGCATGCTAATCAAAATCACAAAATATGTTTTAATTAAGAGGTTGAAGAGACCACACTAAAAAATATTTACGGCATGGAAAACAAGCTGCTTGCGGTTTATTGTGAACTTTTCCCTCAGAATTGTTGGGAAAGAAATGGGCCCAATGTAGAGTTAAAGGGAATTTAAACAGAAACTATAAACCAATTTTAACCCAAAAGCTATAGTTACTAACAATTGGTCCCAACTCCTATTATAAACTCATCGCTCTTTCTTAACATATCCAAAGCAGGACTATATATACTCACGTATTAATAACCTCAACAAGAAAATCCGGGAAAGTATGACACTCCGAATTCTGATTATGGTGCGCAGGATTAGGGAGATTATTTGGGGAAAATAAGTTAAATGCTCATAGAAAAACAATCATCCATCGGCAAGAGTAATAATAAATAACCCTGCATAGGGCAAAAAGAATGCAAGTTAAGACCAGACAAGGTTGCAACTCCTAGAATTTCAAAGATGCATGTTTGGACACAATCGACAAAAATGTTCGCAACAACTATTATTCTTACTTGTGTCGGCATCAAATATAACGGTTTCCACGTTCAACTAACAATTAACAAAGTTCACCAAAGGCCACTGAGTAAAAATAAATAACTAGCACTAAACGGGTAACCTAGGGGCATGCTGAAGTATGGATGAAAACTTACACTACATTGAACTGCAATAAGTTACTTGCTCAAAATGGAGAAGGTGTGTCACCGATAATACTGGCGAGCGCGAGCCATGAAATAGCTGTATTCTTCCATCCGCCAAGTCAAACACTCCCCTACTCTCCGAAGCCCCATGTTCAAAGAAGTAGATGCAATTCGCCTCGTATAATAAAGATTTCGAGCGGGTTTGGATCTAGAGCAATTAGATACCAAGAACAGAACCTGATCGCCTGATCGAGCTTTCAACTTTCGTCCATTGGTTTTTAACAAGGTCTAACTTATGAACGAGAAACTCACAATCCATGTCAGAACGATTAACCGTTAAATTAGGAGGCCATGTCACCTTCGACAACTTCCCTGTCGGATTCTACCAGGTACTTCCTACAATAAAAAGAATCAGGAATAGGTGGGGTAATTGATATCAACTTCGGGTCAGGGACTACATCACATAAAACAAGTCCTCCATGCATTCGCACAGCATAGAACTTTCCTTGGTAATATGTGACACCATTAAATGCATTACGCTGATTATCAAAAGTAGTCCACTTCTCATCCCCAACCTTCCAAATTAAGCTTAAACGATATTGATTTCCATAAAGAGCCACTACTACACAATTATGCGAAGAAGTGTCGTTTGTTGATAACACGACTCTTGTGAATAAAGTGACCATAGTCTTTGAGTTAATTATATAGTAGAAGAAAATTAGTACGTACATAGAATCTAAACTTCTTCCTTTCTGTAGCTTTTCATATAAGTTCTTTGTTCTGCTGTGCTATCACAACGCACCAAAGTAAAATATGACTCAAACAACCTAAAAGAATTTAGCAACACAAACTACAAAGCCACTTAAATCAATAAACCAAAAGCAAGAAACTACATTATCGCAAATTATACAATACTTAAAAATAGATATATTTAGAAAGCAGAATTTCAGTCTTCGCCTAAGCATCAAGTACGAGTGCATCACGAAGAAAGAACCAAGAAATAAATAAATAAAAATAAAATCATTCAAGCTTTCCAAAGAGTATTTGCCTATTTAGCTGGAATTCGAGCCTAAACATATGATGTAAAACATTTGGTTACTTGGTCGCAATAGTGTCTCCAAACAATTGTGGCACTTATATATATTCAACAATGAAACATGGCCTCTGCAGGTGAAACGAATACCGATGAACTGAAGAGAGATGTCACTTGTACTCCTAAAACTTATCCTAATCTTGTCACTAAAATCTTAAGACTACTATGGAGCAGTCATATTGCATGCTAAGACCATCAGCAGCAGGAGGGCAAATATTGCTCTCCACCTCAGCTTTTGTCCCCACCAATTAAATATTTAACACCCTCTTTTATTTCAGCTCCACAGCAGGAAGGCAAATATGTACTTTTTTACTTTATCTATACCCCACCATATTTTCTCTTTCATCCACATCACTATATCATATACCCACCGTATTTCATCCACCTCAGCTTTTTTACTTTTTTTTTGATTTTTTTTTACACTGGTGGGACCCACATATTCAGATTTGCCCATGGGCAATTTTTGCTCTCCGAAACGTTCTCTCTCCAGTTGCTTTCCATTTTGCTTCCCTGCTGTACAAGATATTTCCACATTTGCTCTGCTGCTGTATGTGGTCTAACAAGCCCCAACCCCCCCAAAAAAAAATAAAAATAAAAATAAAAATAAATAAATAAATAAATAAATAAAAATTAAAAAATTAAGTCCCACTGATTCGCACCATTTCGTATCATCAAATCAGTTGGGCACTATAGAATTGCTCATCTTTTAAACATTTCTCGATTTATATAACACTTTCTCGATAGAGAATATGTTGAATTTTCAACTTTATAGTAGATTATCTGTTGCTAGAACAATTTACCCTTCATAAACCCCAAAACCCATAAACCCAAAGCCATTGAGATAATTCTCCCAAATTTCTAATACTACAGACTACAGAAGATCAAGAGATTAGAAACCCTAAAAGGATTGTTTTTTTTTTAATCTAAAGAGAAATGATACCTTGCTCGAGAAATCAATTTACAAATAATAAGACAAGGAGCTTAAATAACGACCTAATCTACAGGAAAAATTCTTTAAGGACCCAAAATATGGGACCAATAGGGAGGACAAGTGAGGTGTCCCCTCCTATTGGATAATGAGTTAGCCATCATTAATGATGGTCAACTCATTATCCAATAGAAGGGGGACACCTCACTTGTCCCCCCTATTGGTCCTATATTTTGGGTCCCTGTAGCAAAGCTCAATCTACAGCTAAACTTTACAAGAAGAACGAAAGATTTTTTTTTTTTCATAAAAGAAAAAAGAGGAGATGAAAGAGGCTTTACACCATCTCCAACCGGCCGGAAAAATCTGGCTTCTTAGCTAAATTTATGGAGATTTAAGGGGATCCTCTTCACCCCAAGTCTTTTTAACTTCCTTTCTAAATTAAGGAGAAGGTTAAAGTCACTTAACCTTCCACTTATAATTTTATATTAATATATTTTGTTTTGGAGTTAATTTATAGTTAATTAAATTTAGTTAATATATAGTTAATTTAAAATAATATAATTAAGTTAATGTATAGTTAATTTAATTTAATTAATATTTTTTAAAATGTACTCCTTATAATTTTTATTAATATGAATTTAAATTTAAAATGATATTTCAATTTTAACATGATTTATATAAATTAATTGTTTGTTAAATTTTAATATGATTAATTAATTTAATGAGTATATAAGGTAATTTCTTAATTTAAATTAATTAATTAATTATTTTTAGTTATTAATATTTAATCATTTATTCATTTATAAATAAATCACATATTTAATTAAATCCTAATCAATAAAATTAAAACACTTAAATATGAATAATTAAGGGGTAGGGGAACTTTTAAGGGGAACCATTGGAGGATTGGGATCCTCTACTAATGAGGACCCTTCCTAAGATCTCCTCGCGAGATCTTGGCCTTTGATTTATCAATCAATGATCATGATCTCCTCATGAGGAAAAGTAGGGAGGAGGAAGAGAATGAGATCTTGACCTTTGATTGATAAATCAAAGGCCAAGATCTCCTCATTAGGAGATCTTAGGAGGATCCTCATTAGTAGAGGATCTCAATCCACCATTGGAGGAGAACCTTCCCCTCCCTTAAATTTCCTCCTAGATTAAGATTTAAGAGGACATTGTAGGGAATCCTTGGAGATGCTCTTACAGATCGCCGATGGAGGAACTGAGATCGAGGGAGAAGAAAACAGTAGGGAGAGGTTTAAATAAATAATCTATTCTTCTATACAAAAGGGATGATCAAAGAACCACTATTCATGCTACAGTAAATAAATACAGTAAATTTACTGTTGTAGTAAAACTGTGGCCAACTGCCTATCCCCAACTATTACACTGTAGCTAACAGCATATCCCAATTGACAAAATTCTCCAACTTACAAAATTAATGAAAGCAAGCCCATGAATTAATGACACCAAGCTCATGTTCACGCAACATCACGCAAATTTTACAACTTGCAAAATTAATCAAACTTGAGCAGCAATCTCTCAATATTCTTCAGCTTACAAAATTAATCAAACCAAGCTCATGTTCACCCATATATTTTTTTCAAAATTCTCCAGCTTACAGCTTATATATACATATATATACATGGGCAAACCCAAAAAAAAAAGAAATAGAGCGGCAATCTTAATTAAAAAATATATCAAACTTGCTAAATAGCTCTATAAAACCAGGAGTTGGCACGTCATTTTGTGGGCCCCACATATTCTGCTTACAAAATTTCCCTGCTTACACCTCATATACATTAACATGGATAAACCAAAAAATAAAAGAGGAGAGAGCGGCAATATGTGAAAAAAATTTAATCAAAGTTGATAAATACCTCTTCAAAACCTGGAGTTGCTACAGGTTTTTGAGGGTCCCACATATTCCTTTGTGTGTGCATCAAACTTGAGCGGCAATCTGGGAAAATTCTCCAGCTTACAAAAATTTTGAAAAAACCACCAAAATTTTGAATAGCAAGGAAACAAGGAAATGTGTGGGTCCCACATATTCACTCTCTTCAAACAAGCTGTGAAAAAAGCGGCAATCTGAAAAAAAAGAGCCAAAACTGAAATTATAATTTATAATAAGTTGTCATGCCATAAAAGAGAAACAAGGAAATATATATATATATATATATATAGATTAAGTCAGTATTTCCCACATTTATGATTTATGACTCATTTCTGCCTATATACATCACATTTTTCATATCAAACTCACTTTTTAAAGCATTTATGATGACCCACTTCATCACAACATTAATTCATCATATTTATTTCATATTTCTTACCATTTACCCAAATAAAGATCATACATTAGTTTAACTAGCTTCTCAAGCAATGTATATTTTCCTCTTAGTTGCATGCTTAAATTTTATTTCAAGTACTGGACCTAAATTATGCATTTTTTGGTTTCAATTATAGAAGTGGAAAACGCTTATGGAATCAACTCTGAAGTCATACTGTAAGTATACTATGCTCCTTTCAGTATATTTGTCTTTACATTATTGGAGATCTTTGTTCCTTAATTCATGTATATATATTTCTAGCATATTAACTTATTGAATATTAATTTGACTCTGATATAACATGTACACAATTTATAGAGTATCATGATTCAAAGTAAGTTAGTTATAAACTGAAAATATTTTCAGTTTTCTATATCTTATTATTTCTATTTGTGGTATCTATCCACCAATTTAACACAACTTTTTGAGCATATGTGGAATGTATACTGCACATCTTTTGGAGCATAAATGGAGAATATAAGTATATATATGCAAGTGAACAAGGTAACTTACCACACATCTTTCTGAGCATATATGGAATGTATGCTACCATTTACCAGAAAATCTCTTTCGGAGAATATTTCAATTCGTACTTTCGGAGAAATCTCTTTCAGAGCATATATGGAGAATATAAGTAGCAGCTCAATGGATGTTAGTTCTTTCACATCACATTCATCTCCGAAGCTCATTGACAGAATAACAGGTAACAGTCTTTATATAAACATATGCCCAATTTAATAGTTAATAGAAATCTACTGTAATAACCTTAAATTATTAAAATTATTACCTACAGAGTTGAATTCGTTGGAATCACAGATCATTGACTTCACCAATCAAAGTGAGAAAGTACTCCCACTTTGTTGAGGCACTACGACTTTGACAAACTTCTATTCCTTAACACTAACTACCCATCATCTGTTTTCAGCTCTTCGATCCTATAATAACAAAGAGAGACGAGTTAAGAGGAAAGTTGTTCATAGAGTTAATGGTACATGTAGCACTACTTCCTTTGAGGATACATCCCCGGTTATTATCAAGCGTACAAGGATGGAACAAATATCATATGATTCATCATTCGACGATTCTCACGTGCAAATGGAAGATAATGTACAACCTGTTACAAACAATAACCAATCTAATTCGGTTATTCTTAGCAACAAAGGAAGGAGAAAAGGCAAACAAATAAATGAGAAAGGTATAACTTCCTTACATTATTTTCATGTCAAATAATTGTACCTGTTTCCTTGCCTCATATGCTGTTGACATTGATATTGTCATTTGTTGTATAACATTGCTATTTGTTGTGTACTTCTAGGTCTGTACAATGATATACACAATGTGGGATCACCAACTTTTATTTGCGAACATTGTGATGCGATGCTTTGGTATGAAGAAAGAGCTGAGAAATCAAAGAGACCTGAAAATCCAGCTTTCTCATTATGCTGTCGAAAAGGCTCTGTCAAATTTCCTCTCCTCACGCATCCTCCCACCTTTCTCTGGAATCTGTTAACCGGTCAGGATAGCAGAAGCAATAAATTTAAAGAAAATATCAGAAGTTATAACTCAATCTTTGCATTTACTTCCTCAGGCGGGACAATTGACAATACATACAATAATGGAGGTGGGCCTTATTGTTTCCGTCTAAATGGACAAAACCATCACAGAATTGGTTCTTTGAGACCAGTCCCTGGAAATATCCCAAAATTCTGTCAGCTCTACATTTATGATACAGATAATGAATTAGAAAATCGTATGAACGCGTTAAATGATTACATGAAATTGGATTGGGATATAGTTGAAGGACTTCTAACTATGTTAGATTCATGTAATGAATTGGTTAAATGCTTTCGAATGGTGAGGGATAGAGTAAAGCAAGATAGTTTAATTCCTATCAAATTGATCATAAAGGCAGCCCGAAGCGGTGATGGCCGACATCAAAACATGCCAACCGCAGGGGAGATTGCTGGCCTAATTGTCAGAAACATTGAAGATACGATTGGTATTCGAGACATTGTCGTTGATGATCGTAAATTAGGATTAACAAGGATAAGTGATCTCCACCCAAGTTTATGGCAATGCAATATCCCCTACTTTTTCCATAAGGAGAGGATGGTTTTAGACTTGGCGTGGAACTTAATCAAAACACCAACAATGCTTAGAAAAAAAGGAAAGAAGTTACATACATAGAGTACGCTTCATTTCGTTTGCAGCAGCGTCAGACTGAGGCACATACATTACCCTTATCGGGGAAACTATTACAAACTTACATTGTGGATCTTATGACCTGCATTGAGGAGGAAAGACTTCATTGGGTTAAAGTTAATCAGTCAAAGATCCGTACGGAGTTATACTGTGGTATCAAGGATGCACTACATAGAGGAGATACTGAAGGTGCACAAGTAGGTAAGAGAATTGTTCTACCTTCCTCTTTCACTGGCGGACCACGTTATATGACCCAAAATTACCAAGATGCAATAGCTCTTTGCCGTGTTATGGGAAACCCTGATCTTTTCATCACGGTAACATCAAATCCAAAGTGGAATGAAATTCTTGAATTTCTCAGAAATAATGGCGGACAGAGACCTAATGAAAGACCAGATATCGTCGCAAGAGTGTTCAAGATCAAACTAGATTCATTGATGGAGGATCTTCAAAAGAATAATCATTTTGGAAAGTGTATAGCAGGTATGATTTAATTTATCATATTTACATCTCTGAGCATTCATATATAGATGTAATCACTTTTTAATGTGATCATCCAATAGTTTAATTAGCTTCTCAAACAAAGTGTACTTTCCTCTTGGTTACATGCTTAAATTTACTTTTAAGTACCAGAGGTAAAGCTTACACCATTTGTAAGTAATAATTTTTATAATATGAGAAAAAAGTAGTTAATATCAATTACAATGTCTAAAGTAAAACAATGAAGCAGACACACACTATGATTGTGAGCAAAGGCACGTATATATCTTTGTAGGCATCGAAAATTGCCTATAGGTCTCCACGAACAGCTCAGTGTTAAGGAACGACAATGAACGTCACTATCTGGTTCACAGGAGTTCGATTGACGTCGGTGAATGCTTGAAGTGAATCAACGAACTACGTGAGCTGACAGAATTTCGGAATAACGAAGGCACAGGCTAATCGAGAGCCCCGCGATGTTTACAAAAAGAATAACGCCTTTCGTGTCTCGTTCGTTCTACAGATAATCCAACCATCGGGGCTGATAGAACTCTTCGTCAGAATTCCAACGCAATTCGAATCACTAAAATCCGAGTTCGGACGAAGAATTTACAGCGGGGTGTCCTAGATTTTTGGGACGCCCCAGGGGTGTCCTAGATTTTTGGGGACGCCCCAGGGGCGTCCTAAATTTTTGGGGACACCCCAGGGACGTCCTAGATTTTTGGGGACACCCCAGGGGCGTCCTAGATTTTTGGGGACACCCCAGGGGCGTCCTAGATTTTTGAGGACACCCCAGGGGTGTCGCCTATAAATAGAAGCCTTAGGCCTCACTTTTGGGGCTGGATTTTTGGAGAATTGGCAAAGCCCTGCTGGAGTGAAGAGTGATCGAGTACTTCAACACAAGAGAGTTCTTCATCAGATCTACATCACTTGCATCCGTTCCTTAGCATTACCCCTCGTCGGTAATCCTAAGAAGAGCAAATATCTCGCTTTATCCGAGATAGCCGCTCCAAATTTCTAGATCTCCTCGCGGATCGACGAAGCTCTGCCCGATTTTTCTAGATCAGATCTGATTGCCAGGTAGTCCACGGATATCGACGTCCCCGTCACAGGCTAAAGACCCACGCAAGCAAGAGACGATAAACGGATCTTGTGTTTATTTTCAAGAAAGTTGTAATTTTTATTTTCGTTATTTGAATTCATTTGTAACGTTTGAAGTTTTAATGAAATCAATGATGAAGGCAACTTTCGACGAAAACAAACTGGCGACCACAGTGGGAGCCAACAGCCTCGCTGCCGAGGCTGTCGTGACGCAACCGGCATTCAAGATCCGGGTGAACGAAGAGATCGAATACGAGTTCGATCAACAAAAGTTTGAAGAGTACCTCTCTTCCTCCTCCTCCAGATCCGCCTCTCCAAACAGGCACAGGAAGATTTCCTCTTCAAAAAGCGCGCCAAAGACGGCGCCAACGCCTTGCGCGACAACTGGCCAAGGCCGCAGAATCGATGGACGGGATCCGCTACAATGAAGATCTGAAGTCCAGACAGCGCCAAGAGCAACAACGGCACATAATCAACTCCTCCTCCAAGGTAGAAACAAGCGAATGGGTTCGTGTCACGAGGACTCGCTCAACCCTCGAAGAGCGAATCAAGAAACACCGCGCATTGCTTGCGCATGCCCGAGTCCTTCTGCAGAAAGCGGAAGAGATGCAGAAAGAAGAGACGGTCAAGAATCCGTCAAAACACAAGCAGGTGTGGGTGCCAAAGGCAAAGCCGGCGTCTAAGACAAGAGTGGACGGAAATACCGTCCAACATTCAGCAAATTCAGATCCAGTGTCCCCTGTCCCCGTACTTCCGGCGGAGCCAGGTAAGAATGTGGGTCCCTCAAGATTCAGGGTTCCTTTGAAAGGTCGCCTCGGTCCTTTACCGGAGAACCGAGGTAAAGCACCTGTCAAGGAGCGATTGGGACCGCTGAAAGGTCCCCAAATGACGAACCAGACTGGGGGTCGTGTTAATCCCTCCAAGAAAGATAACAAAGGGAAAGCCCCTGTTACCGACCGCATTGGATTGCGGGTCGAAGTTCAAGAGCCCGTTAAGTTTTCACGCTCGCAAAAGCGTAGACTTGAACGAGCGACTTTTGAAAACGCTAATAAAGCGTCATATCCCCAGAGGGAAACACATTCGTCTGATGATGATGGTGTTATACCTGGGAAGTCATGCCAACACTCTATGGGTTGCTCCAGTTATCAAACTGATGAGTTGTACTATAGAGCTGGGGATACGAGTAAGTCTCGAAAGAGAGATGCTCGAGACACGGAATCTCACTGTCCGTGTGCCAACATAATCAAGGCGGTACTGTCAGAATGCTGCTGTACTAAAGCCCCAAGGAGAGTTTCGGTGTTCGAGAGAATTTCCACCGGAACATCCGAGACCAAGCCAAGGCGTTTCCGTAGGAAGAAGCCTGTTCGCCAAGAGGACGAATTCCTAGAAGTGTCTGCTAATATGACCGGCAAAGGGAAATCGACACGACACTTTAGCCCAGATTAGCTTGCCGAAGTATCCCAACGTATGACTCGATTGCGGTCAGGGATCAATAGGCGAAAGAATTACCAAAGGATGCAAAAGGGACTTCCTTTGGAAGAGGAGGCGTCAGATGCTGGTTCAGACTCCTACTCGGCTATAGCATCCGATGACACGGCGTCTAGTGCGGGACAGCCTTACGAGTCACTCATGATCAGCGCCGAACAAGTAACCAAGATGCTTGAAGATGCCCTGGCTAAGCAGAAGGAAAGTTTCAAGTTCGAGATGGAGATGGCCATGCAGCAGATGAGAGAGATGCATGACCAGCAAATCGCGGCACTGACAACTCACCAAGGAGAACCCAGTCATCGCAATAATCAGGAGAACCCAGTCGTCGTAATAATCCGAATCAAGAGGAGAATGAACGGGAAGAGGATAATGTCAACATAACTATCCCTCCTGTCAACAACAATAACGGAGGTGGTCCCTCGGATGATAATGCGAAGGAGGACCACGTTACCTCTCCCAGAAGCCACTCGAAGACAGATACGAGTGAGGACAAGAAGATGAAGGACTTGGAGAGCAAAATCAACGCGTTGATGAATGCTCAAGAAGTGAAGAGGTCCGGCATACCATGTCCATACCCAAGGGAGTGAGAATCAATTCCATATCCGGCAAAGTTTAATTTAATCAACTTTACGCCGTTTGATGGAAAGGGTTCCCCTACCCAACACTTAATATATTTTAAGTCTCATTTAGGAATTATTTCTGGGAATGAACCTCTTATGGTGCGGTCATTCGTCGGCACTCTTCGCGGAGCAGCCTTCGACTGGTATCGCCGTCTAAAGACCGGGAGTATCAGCAGTTGGGACGACATGGAAGATATGTTTCTGACAAACTTCTTCGATGACGACACCGAAATCTCAATCGGTACACTATTCGATGAGAAGCAGAAGAATGGTGAGACGGTCGAAAATTTCGTGAAGAGATTCCGAAACAAAGCAATGAACTGCAGGGATCCGGTCAGTGAAGATTTTATCCTCGAGACTTGTCACAATAATCTTTCATTGGACATCCTCGAAGCTAAGGCGCCTCAACAATCAAGGTCACAACAGCAATCCCGAAGGCAGCAAAAGACTTCGGAACCGAAACTCCAAAAAGAGTATTCCTTCAAGGACGAAGACGTTCCAGCCATCTTCGAATCCCTCCTTGAAAACAACAAGATCAAGCTACCACCTATCGTCAATCAGGAGGAAGCTGACAATACTGCGGATCCGAAGTACTGCGCATATCACAGGAGGATAAAGGCGCCTCAACAATCAAGGTCACAACAGCAATCCCGAAGGCAGCAAAAGACTTCGGAACCGAAACTCCAAAAAGAGTATTCCTTCAAGGACGAAGACGTTCCAGCCATCTTCGAATCCCTCCTTGAAAACAACAAGATCAAGCTACCACCTATCGTCAATCAGGAGGAAGCTGACAATACTGCGGATCCGAAGTACTGCGCATATCACAGGAGGATACTCCAAAAAGAGTATTCCTTCAAGGACGAAGACGTTCCAGCCATCTTCGAATCCCTCCTTGAAAACAACAAGATCAAGCTACCACCTATCGTCAATCAGGAGGAAGCTGACAATACTGCGGATCCGAAGTACTGCGCATATCACAGGAGGGTCATTCATCCCACCAAGGATTGCTT